AAAAAAGACAAAAAAGAAAAAAAAAAAAAAACAAAAAATAAAAAAAAAAAAAAAAAAAAAAAAAAAAAAAAAAAAAAAAAAAAAAAAAAAAAAAAAGTAAATCCTAAATAGGTTCATGACTTAAATTTAAGCTAGTAAAGACATGAGCTTGACCCCAAAAGAAATTTAAGTTGGAAAAATGTTGAGGGAATTGGGCTGCAGATGATAATATTAACTAACATCTGTGAAGAGCCCCCAGTATTGTTCTATGCCCAACAGAAACCAGAAAGCCTTTCTATTATCAGCCTCCAGCAAGCATCAGGCAAAAAATCTTAACATTCATTAAGGTCTCGATACCCATTAGCTTAATTTGGATTTTACAAATCCGGTCACAATTCTCAAAAAAATTCCAACACACATCCTATTAATTACAATACATGTTCAATTCAATCCATATTTAAAAAAAAAATCACTTTCATATTATACTGTAGCATGTAGACTCACTGCTGGGCGATGAATATGTAAACATCAGCCATTGCTAGAAGACGCCTACAACACACACAGCCAACAGTACAGGAGCACTGTTTTTCTGTGTCCATGGATGGGATGTTGCTATGCAACGCGTGTGGTGACGTCACACAACAGTTGTTGGTAGTGATCATGTGACATATTTACGGTGATGCGATTTCTGTCCCTCGGCTATATAAGTGTCATAGTTTAGTTAGCAGTTACGAGTTACAAGAGAGAAATAGAAGTGGTGGAATCACAAGAAGAGATTGAGTTAGAAGTGACAGTGTGTGTGGCACAGTCCTGAGTCCTGAGTTACAAGACAAATAGTAGCGGTGGGAGCATACAAAGCAAAGTGGAACCAGGAGTGATTGGAGTGATTGATTAAAGTGTGATTGGAAGATTTTATGTGTAATATGTGTGGTGATTTGAAGTGACAGTTTGTGTTGTAATCTGCTGCTAGGAGGCTAGTGAAGACAGAGAATCCTAGTGAACGCGCAACAGCAAATTGGAAAGTGTGTAACTCAGCAATAGTGCTGAATTGCATGTATTTAAGTGTGATTAAGAAAAAGTGTGTTACTAAGGTGCTAATAAATCCAATCATCCAAATTAGAACATGTCATATTTGTGCCACAATATATAATTGGTGCAATAGAAGTACTTTTACAATGATTTAAAATATTCTCATTTTTTCAGCATGCAAATCACTGTCACAATACACACAAACTTTTACAATGATTTAAAATATTCTCATTTTTTCTGCATGCAAATCACTGTCACAATACACACAAAAATGTATCACACTCCAAGCAGATATTCTACCAGCTGTAGGAAAACTCTTTCAAATGAAATGTTTAGATGCTTTAAATATTATCGACTACCACATTCTGTAACCTACAAGTATCATGCAAATACAATACACATCCAGATTTCAGACAAATTTCTCACTTGAAAACTGTGCCAGTTTTTTAAACCAAACTTCTCTTGACAATCATATTTTGAAGTCTGTCCCATCTGACACATGTGCCATGAGAGTAAACTTTGTGCATCAGCCCATTCAAGCTTAAAGTACATGTATTTGCTTGCATTTAGGATGTATCATATTTGAGCCATTCAGATCAATACATCATATTCTTGAATTTCTTTGGTTCACCCAGCCTGCTTCCTTCCCAGATATCTGCTTGCTGCCCTTCTAATGTTGACCAATCCTTGCATTTTCCTCTACCCCTGGAACCCCAAATTACTTCCAGGGTAGCAGTATGTAGCTACCACCTCAATCACTTGCTCCTTTAACAGCATGGTGTACACACCAAAATTCAGTTCCAGATCCTTTTGGTTCTTTCTTTTTCCTTTCTCTTTTTAATTCCATCACTTATGTCCTACCCAACACTGTTGGAGCAAAAAGGCACTCATCATGCTGCTGCCAGGTATATGCAAGTATATATTGATAATTTGGTTTACTCACCAACAAGGAAAAAATTTCTTTGTTCTTGATCTTTATAGCATATAAGGTAGGAGTGAATTTATGACTTTGGGGAACTCAAGTTGACTGTCCTTGGATAATCTTTATTGTAACTAAAGTTGACTTAATGTATGTGTTTTGGCTATGTATAGTGTTCGTGTATTTGCTTCATAACTTGACTCTACCGTGAAGAGGGGACCAGAGTGGCATTTAAGCTACCCACAACAGAGGCAATTTTCTTAGGTTATCATCACAGTATTTAACACATTGCCGACCGGAGGGGCCATATGGCCCTCTACGTTTCCAAGCGTTGCGGACCGGGCGGGCCATATGGCCCTCTACAGTCACGTTATGTTCCAAAACGCTATATATCGCTGTGTGGCTTCGTTGAATCGTAACTACTGCATAGATGACCTCGGGAATGATTGCTGCCTTATCTAGTAACTCGACCAGAGTCATTTCCTGTCACAACCTAAACAAAATTGGCTTTGTTCTAATCCAAGCTTGCACGTATCAACCACGCAGCTACCAGTTCAACATGGCTCAGAGACGAAAGCAGTTGCGATCTCTTGGAGGACAGGAAATATTAGATATGTTCTCCGATGAGCTATCAGATTTGCCAACTGCTTTGTCTTCTGATAGCGAGGCCATTATCAGTGACAGTGACGGTGATGGGGGCCACAGGGCTGCCCAAAATGTGTCAAGTGAAAGTGAGAGCTCCGTTGAAAGTGCGAGTGTCGGGAAAGCAATACCTACTTTCAAGGAAAGTACGTATTTGTGGTACAATTAGGGTGAACAGAGGCCTCCCTCCAGATCTGAAAGAGGAATGTAAACGCCTGAAACGTGGCGACACCGCATTCAGGAGGAAGGAGGACATTCTTCTTCAGTCCTGGAGGGATACTCGCGTTGTGAATATGGTTTCCACTATTCACAATTCGAGCATGGTCGATGTTCAAAGACGACACGGGCAAGTAAAGAAGCCTCTTTGTATTTCCGAGTATAATATGTTCATGAAAGGAGTTGATAGGGCCGACCAGTTCTTGGCCTATTATTCCCTTCCTAGGAAAACAGTAAAATGGACGAAGAAAGTTGCACTGTGGCTTATAAACTGTGCAATTTTCAATTCATTTACGGTTTTCAAAAAGGTGAACAGAAATTCTACTTTGAAATACAAAGCATTTCTGTTGAAACTGGCAAAAGCTTGGGCTACTGACGTCACGGTGGCGGCAGTACCTGCGTCAGACACAGACGTAGTGCAGCCGGGGCCATCTGTTCGCACCCGCCAGAGGCCTCAAGTAGACCCCCCTGGCCGACTCTCGGGTGATATGCGGAAACATATTCTCGTGAAAATTGTGAAGAGTGAATATTGCAAGAAGAAACACCCTTCTAGGCAGTGCCGTGTGTGCGCAGAGCACAAGAAGAAGAGTAGAACTGCCTACATGTGCAACTTCTGCGTAATGCCTCTTCACAAAGGGGAATGTTTCCAGAGATATCACATGCGCAAGCACTTCTAGGAGCTCTGGTAAGTGTTCTCAAAAAATTTCAGTTCATAAAATTAATTAGGAGATTTTATATTAATTTTTAAAGTGAGCAGTGCACAAGTTAGGGTAGTAGGTTTAAAAACGCCGGTCCTCAGGGTGATTTAAATGTTTAAACCACCGGTCCGCAATGTGTTAAGTAACATCAGTGTACAATAGCTCTCTATTCCCACTATTCCATACCAGTAACCACTCTGGCTGTTCACATTCAAGTGGCCATACTATTAATAATAGTCAGTAATGTCAAGTCTGCTGTTACATGCTTATCAAAACTGTTTTTCTTCTGCTACAGTTACTGATTTGTATCTGTGTCTATTAGTCCACCTCTTTAAGTGCCTTTCATACTGTTATCACATTTCATTATTAAATATACATCTTCTTGCTTATTCTCCTCCTCTTTCACATCTAGTAATATATTCTTATGCCTCCTACAATTTTATGTATGGTTTTGAACCTTACCATGCTGAAAGGCACTAACACATTATCTACCTTCTCTAGCCTGTATATGGCTATACTGCCCATCTTTGGGGCATCTAAAATCAATAATTAAATCAGAAGTAACTGTGATGTGCCTCTCTGCCCTTGTGGCTAAGTGTAAGCCCGAGGATAAAGAGAGACAGTGGGATACACTTCACATTTCAGATGGATTGGTTGGATTAAAACAATTCTCATGCCTTTCCTACAGCACATATCATAGAGACAACTAAAGCAGTAACATCCAGTACCTTCTGGTTACAGTTTTCATCATTACTTCAATTTTCATAAATGAGGGTCCCTCTCATGAATAAATGAATAGCACTGTTATTGCATCCTTGTATCTTAATTTCCTTATTTATTACACCTGAATGAAGGGCCTGACTAATGTTTTGTTTCCACATGACAAATGGTTTAAAATAGCTGCATGTGTCTCACAAGCCAAGTTCCACCATGTCTACCACATAGTCTGAGCTACTGACACCACCAGTAAATAATAAATAAATACTGTAGAATAAACCACAATAAAAATACGTGGGGGTACCCAAATGAAACCGAACTTATTTTTTCAAAACTTATTTATTCAAATTTTAAGCACAAACCTTCAATCACCTTCAAAGTACTCCCCCACTTACACTAATACACTTGTCTAGACATTTATTCCTTTTTTCAAAACACTGTCTAAATTCATCTTTTGAGATGCTTGACAGTGCCTTCGTCGTTTTTTCCTTCACCTCAGCAACATCAGCAAAACGCTTTCCTTTCATGTCTCTTTTCATTCGAGGAAACAAAAAAAAAAAGTTTTGATCATTTCAGGACTCTTCTTTCAAAGCACAGCATGCTTCCACGCGACCTTGTTTTTGTTCAGCAGCCACCCTTTCCATTCCCAAATCTTCTGTCAAAATTTGCTGAACTGAGCTCCAAGTCACTCCCGACAACTCCACAATTTCTTCAATGGTCCGTCGTCGATCTTCCCTGATGATTTCACGAATTTTTTCAACGTTTTCATGTGTTCGGGCCGTGGAAGGACAACCAGAACGAGGTTTGTCATCAATTGACATTTCACCATTTTTGAAACGGGAAAACCACTCAAACACTTGAGTTTTCCCCATAGCATCGTCCTTGTACGCNGTTCCTTTTGGGTACCCCATCGTATATTTCTAATTCCATACATTCTTCTTCTTGACAAGACAATCTCAAATGAGTAATGGGGAGGGGGGAATAAAAATAAGAGAAGGAAGTTGTGGGTGCCTTCTTAGCACAAGGTAGCCACCTTCACACTTTTGAAACCANCAGCTTTTACGGATTTCTAAGAGCGGCCCTTTAAATAATTCCGTACTGCCGCCACAGCCTAAGTTTAAAGGGCCGTAGGATAAAGGTTAAAAGTGTTATTAGGGCAGACTGAAATTCTGTTCAATGAACAAATTATGAATCCCATGTTCTACCATCTCACAGAGGAGATAGAACTACATTATAACCCCATGTAAGTGAAGCAGCAGCTTTTACTTTGTGCAGGTGACACCACTCAAAGTAAGCCTGTAAGACCTATACACAACCTCTTTCTAACAGTAAATGACCCACAGACATTACTGAAATGTACATGCCCAGTAAAGGTGTAATGAGTATGAAAGACTGTGTGTGCCCACTAACCAAACAGGTATTACAGCAAATCTGAACTATCAAACTTCCTTACACAGAAAGCCTCCTTTTCAACATCACCATCAGCACTACAGGCATAACATACCTGGGGCACCTCCATAGTAGCCTGCAGCAGCTGCTGCCTGGTAGCCGTATGGCTGTCCGTAAGGAGGTTGCTGCTGCTGTGGTGCTCCTTGACCTGGCTGCTGTGGTGCCCCACCAGGTTGCTGCTGTTGCGGCTGCTGTTGGGGTCCACCTGGAGCCCCTCCGCCAGGCTGACCAGTCTAAAATGCAAAGCTTTGCATTCAGTGGTTTACAGACTTAGTTATGTTTTTCTAAGTTTCAGGGTCACTTGTAATGGCTAATGATTTCAACTCCTCTCTTACCCATGTGCATGCACACACACAGTGAAATCTCTGCGAGAATGACATTTCTTACCCCAATAATGTGTTTCCAGAGAACTGGGCTTATGCAAAATTACATCAAGAAACTGTCATCCATAAGCTTTGGTGCATATACAGGGTATACACAGAGAATGGTGCAGTTTCAAAAGTTAATAAGAAATTTATTTCTCAACTTACATGGGCACGACTATACCATCAGCGACAGCAACTGTCCAAGCTTCTCACGCATTAATGACAAACCTTCAATGTGTGCACCCTGGGTCACACAACACACCCACACAGTAATCAAACTCATCCCAGACCCAGTGTAGCATGTCCACTGATGTGGAATGTGGCTTCATCAGAGAAGATCAGTCTTTCTACGAACCAACCTTCCTCCATTCTCAACTGCATCTCCTCACAAGTCATGCCTTTTAACTTTGTCTGCTGGTTTAATGGCCTGCACAAATCGCATTTTGTATGGCATAAAGAATAGCCGCTTACACAACACATTCCACACAGTCATTTTTGGCATGCCTAATTCCCTGCCTTCTCTATGCACTGACTTATGGGGACTTCACTGAAATGCCTCACGCACTCCTTCAATGTTATCAGACACATGAGGTCGACCAAGACTCTTGCCTTTACACAAGCATCCAGTTTCTACAAATTGTTGGTACCACCTGTTAATGTTATTCTTGTGTGGTGCGTCTTTTTGAAACCGTGCATGAAACTCTCGCATCACAGACCGGGATATCTCAAAACAGAGCACAAAGAAAGCCTTCTCCTGCTGCAAAGCCATCTTTACAACTGACCCCGCAACGATGCAGTAAGCATGAGAAACTTGGACAATTGCCACCGCTGAGAAATAAACTTATTAACTTTTAAAACTGCACCATTCTTTTTGCATACCCTGTACTTATGACAAAATAATGTACGAGTGCTTAAGCGCTGTCATGTTCCCTGGGTGTGTGACTACAGATGCAAAATGGATTGGTGAACTGGATTTATTGACTGCCTGTATACACCACTTGGAACTACATTTTACAGACCACTGACACACACAGATGAGTGTCCTCAATCTACTAATCTCTGCTAGCTGTTCTAGCTTCTGCCAAGGGAGTTTCTTCAGCTTCCTAAACTCAGGTACTCTTTGTCACAGCTGCCTGTGCAGAATTCGTCAACTGACAACTCAACTAACTGGGTCCCAGGCTGGCAGCCATTTTACACCAACCCCCTAGTCTTATCTTCACAGGATGACTTTCAACTGAACTTTCTCTCACCAACCACCTAATTCATGTCACTTCACTCAACTGAAATGCTGACAACTTCAACCAACAACTAATTCATTGTCAAAGTCGAAGTTACTTTACAATAGGCAGTTTACCACCAGTCAGTTCAAACTGTCCTGCTTATGACATCTCAGCACAAACCACACAGAAAACATCATTTCCATTGCTATAGCTGAACAACAGTGAACCTGTTTATCAAGCAACTGCATAACAATGGCCCAGGTATTGCTGACATGTTTACTGGCCATTACCAGGTACACTTTACAGTATGAATAAAGAATTATTTGTACACAAAGAAATACTACACATAATTGGTAACATAAGATTGATTTCCTGAAATACCTGCCATATGAAACAATCATGAAAAAACTTCAGTCAAGAATCAAAGGACCTATGGTGCCAGAAGTGGCAATTGGAACATTAATGGGCCCTTGCACCGTGTTTTCAATGGCCTACTGTTCATATGTTCTACATGTTACTTCACTCGCCAAAATATGGCTGCATGAATTTCCAGCACAGTAAATGAAAACACTGATTGTTGTTTGGATCCTGGAAGTTAAAAAATCGTTTACAATAAGTGGGTTCTTTACTAAACCAATATTACTTAAATACATGAAAAAATACTTTTATAGCCATCTTTAGGTGGAATCAGGAAAAATATTCACAATTTACAGCAACTGCCTAAATGTAGGAACTCTTTCAGATATGAACTTCAGAAATTCTGTTAACCGTTCGGAATTCCATGCTAATTTCATAAATTGTCGAACCTGCTATGTTTACTATGGGAAAAGAACTACAATAGATTTCTTTCAAATTTATTGCTATGTAAACCTTACATTCAATTCTAAAACACAGCTCTTTTGAGTTGTATACTGTTGTAGTAACTGCCCTAGTAAGAACGGCAGTATACTGTTATACCCTGCAACCCTTCCCTATTACAAGTTCCTAAAGTCAGTTCTGACCGCCACTAGCTACTATGCATACAAATTGGCTTGGGTAAGAATGATCTGCATAAAGCGGGGTAGTTATAAAATTTCCACGTACTGTGCAGCAATTTTGTTATACAAACGAAACTGCACGAGTGTTGGAAAAGGGGTGAAATGGATGGTAGGTAAGAGCTTTTAGAAAATCCTGGCTGACCTGAATCCATTTGAGGATTCCAAAAATATCTCCCTTCATTCTATTGTATTAGATATAAAACTTGCATCAGAAATGCTGCCACTTGCAATTTCTAAGACTGTCTTCTATTTCTGGTCCTAATCTTTTGCTGTCATGACTGTGCCTTGGTACAACTTACAAAGGCCAATGTTAGATATCAGCTGTGAATCCACACAAAGAAATTACAAAATTGTCCTATTTCATATGTTAGCTACCATATTACCCCCCCCCCAAAAAAACACATGCACACAGAGACATAAGGTCAGGGAGATGGTGATAAACATAACAGCAGTCAGTAATCATTAGTGACCCCTCAGGCAATGTCTATTCACATTCATATCTCAATCTTCCCCTTCCCCAAATTATAAAAGATGGTCTAATGTGACTATCATCCAATGAATAGATTTTCTAAGCTCATTTCTGGCAGTGAATATGTTAAGTACTGAAATTCACGTGATAACTACATATGGGGTGGGGGGCAAATGGCATCTTCAGTATGTGTCTCAATCGCTTCACCTACCCTAGCACNTTTCCATTGCTATAGCTGAACAACAGTGAACCTGTTTATCAAGCAACTGCATAACAATGGCCCAGGTATTGCTGACATGTTTACTGGCCATTACCAGGTACACTTTACAGTATGAATAAAGAATTATTTGTACACAAAGAAATACTACACATAATTGGTAACATAAGATTGATTTCCTGAAATACCTGCCATATGAAACAATCATGAAAAAACTTCAGTCAAGAATCAAAGGACCTATGGTGCCAGAAGTGGCAATTGGAACATTAATGGGCCCTTGCACCGTGTTTTCAATGGCCTACTGTTCATATGTTCTACATGTTACTTCACTCGCCAAAATATGGCTGCATGAATTTCCAGCACAGTAAATGAAAACACTGATTGTTGTTTGGATCCTGGAAGTTAAAAAATCGTTTACAATAAGTGGGTTCTTTACTAAACCAATATTACTTAAATACATGAAAAAATACTTTTATAGCCATCTTTAGGTGGAATCAGGAAAAATATTCACAATTTACAGCAACTGCCTAAATGTAGGAACTCTTTCAGATATGAACTTCAGAAATTCTGTTAACCGTTCGGAATTCCATGCTAATTTCATAAATTGTCGAACCTGCTATGTTTACTATGGGAAAAGAACTACAATAGATTTCTTTCAAATTTATTGCTATGTAAACCTTACATTCAATTCTAAAACACAGCTCTTTTGAGTTGTATACTGTTGTAGTAACTGCCCTAGTAAGAACGGCAGTATACTGTTATACCCTGCAACCCTTCCCTATTACAAGTTCCTAAAGTCAGTTCTGACCGCCACTAGCTACTATGCATACAAATTGGCTTGGGTAAGAATGATCTGCATAAAGCGGGGTAGTTATAAAATTTCCACGTACTGTGCAGCAATTTTGTTATACAAACGAAACTGCACGAGTGTTGGAAAAGGGGTGAAATGGATGGTAGGTAAGAGCTTTTAGAAAATCCTGGCTGACCTGAATCCATTTGAGGATTCCAAAAATATCTCCCTTCATTCTATTGTATTAGATATAAAACTTGCATCAGAAATGCTGCCACTTGCAATTTCTAAGACTGTCTTCTATTTCTGGTCCTAATCTTTTGCTGTCATGACTGTGCCTTGGTACAACTTACAAAGGCCAATGTTAGATATCAGCTGTGAATCCACACAAAGAAATTACAAAATTGTCCTATTTCATATGTTAGCTACCATATTACCCCCCCCCCAAAAAAACACATGCACACAGAGACATAAGGTCAGGGAGATGGTGATAAACATAACAGCAGTCAGTAATCATTAGTGACCCCTCAGGCAATGTCTATTCACATTCATATCTCAATCTTCCCCTTGCCCAAATTATAAAAGATGGTCTAATGTGACTATCATCCAATGAATAGATTTTCTAAGCTCATTTCTGGCAGTGAATATGTTAAGTACTGAAATTCACGTGATAACTACATATGGGGTGGGGGGCAAATGGCATCTTCAGTATGTGTCTCAATCGCTTCACCTACCCTAGCACTGCAGAGGAAACCACTCAGGCGATATTTTAACTGTATTTTTTTTTTAAATTTGCTTAGTGGGGGGTGGAGTCCAACTGGGTCCACTCAGCACGGCGGCCACTGATTGGCTTATTGTAGCCTGCCCCGGGTGATTATGATGGAGAATTTGGTGGAATGAAGATTGGCAGGGGAAACCGAAGTACTCAGAGAAAACAGGCCCCAGCGCCACTTTGTCCACCACAAATCCCACCTGACCACCTGGGATCGAACCCGGGCCACCGCGGTGGGAAGCCAGTGACTAACTGCTCAAGTTTTAACTGTAAAGCAAAACTCCAATTTAAGGTTTCCTTTGGGAGCAGTAAACCTGAACATTAACCTAAGGTAATTTAATAATAAAGACTGATGTGGGAATACTGAAATTTGACAAGGGCAAACTATAACTCAAGAACAATAAATGGGGGTACCACTGTATTGAATTGACCTTGCCAGCCTTCATCTGGGCCTCAATTGCTTCTGCCTCTTTAACCTTGCCTATGGAGCGGTAATATTCTGCCCACTGAGCACTGTAGTCTGGCTGTCCATTTTGTGCTCCAGCACCTGGCTGGGGACCTGCCTGTTGAGGTGTAGGCTGTGCAGCTTGCTGAGGCTGCAGACCCTGTAACATACACCAAACATTAAGCAATAAGATGAACACTGTAATCTAATGACACCACTTGACTTTCTCGTCCCTTAAATGTGAATATAATTTGCTTCCAGTACAGTCCCATACAGATTTGTTCGTAAATTTACTAGCCACAGGCTCATAAAAATACAGAAATTAAGAACTGAACTTCCTATGGCACATCATATACTGAAAAGTTATTACTACTTTCAGAACCAGATTTATTCTGCATGCCTAAATTTAAAGTGCCCTCATGTTATTTAATGACACTTTAAGCAAAGAGACTATACACATCAGGTATTACAATGGCTGAAGGATGGAGAGGATTTGGAAGGAAGTGTATATGGCCAGTTCAAGGTACTATACCAGAACTTTTCTGGATGTACAACCCCACCCCACCTAGTCCAAGCATTACCTCTAGGCCAACCTGTTCAGGTCAAATGGGTTAAGAATATGGCCTCATAATATGCAGGAGCCTATAAAACTCGTGTATGATAATCAGGGGCAAAGTTGGAGGAACTGTTAGTTATGATTAAAGAACAAACTTACTTGTCTCAGAGAATCAATGCGAGCCTGTATAAAACTTGAAATCACTCAGCATTGCTTTATCAATGGAGACTGCCTGTCATATCTGCAATGTATATGGCATTGCCTCAACCCCCCATCTGTTCTCTGAAGCAAGTATATCTGTGTTCTAGGACCTAAACTTCATAAGAAGCNTGAAGATGGAGGCGCTACGTTCCTCCGAAACGTCGGCCAAAACGAAGAATACACGGTGCCTAAACCCAGAAGACGACTTTCTTCATAAGAAGCTATCACTGTTTTCAAGGCACATCAATTTTGGCTTGTACAAAACATTATTTTCCATGCAACTCCTTTCATAATAATTTTATTCAGTCCCTGGCTCTAGGCTGCTTCAATAAGTCCACTTTTTTTTGTCAAAAGCAATCAGCAGTTAACCTTCCAATAATCGGTGCCTCAAACTTTTCACTTTCTCCTTTAAAACAATTCAGATCTCCAGACCATTCCATATGCTATATTTTGCATCCAAAAAACCAGCAAACAAATGACTTCACTCATCACTCATTTCTTGAACATTCACAAAAAATAAATTTCAGTTACAACCTTTCTGCCTGCCTCTTAATATCCATGCCAAGAAAGCTGCTGCTCTTAGCCATTCAAGTTAGCTATGAGTGAAGGTGACAACTCGCATTTGCAAGCTGTTATTCATATCAGATGGGCATGTGGTAGCGTAGTGGTAGCCACTATGCTACAAGCTAGAAGGTTGTGGGATCAATTCCCAATGTCAACGGATCTTTCAACTGACCTAATCCTTCCAGCTGCACTGTGGCCCTGGGGTCAACCCAGCTTCTTAACACAAATTTCTTTTATTCAAATTAGTACAAGTTTAAAAGGGAAACTTGGAGTTAACAAGGCTCTTAGGGAAGAACCTTAAATCAATAAATGTTAAATGGGGATTCTACCACTCTTCATCCCATGTTTTCCCTCACTTAACCCTTTATACACCATCAGCCAATCAGACCATCTTGGTAAGTGTGTTTAAACTGCTAGAGAAATAAAATCAACTCGAACACAACAGCACTTTCATCAACAGATGGCATCACATGACATACCGATTTTCTGTGGAAAGAATATTTTCACATGATTTACACATATGGTCTTTTTTAAGATAATGTGAAAAGAAATGTGAGAATGTTCTTTGCAACTGCATCGGTAGTCTACATTCTGGGTAGTAACTGTGACACATCAGCAGACCCTTCCCCCAAGTTCCGCCATTCTTTTCTGAAACATCACACATTACCTTGCTGGCCTTGGCTTGCTGTTCAATCATCTCCGCTTCTCTATGCATACCAAGGGAACGATAGTACTCTGCCCACTGAATGCTGTAATCTGGTTGTCCTGTTGCAGGGTTTACCTGAACTTGGGCACCACCACCTGCGGTAACAAAATTAATGTAGTAATTTGGAAGGCTACTGTAACTAGACATCCAAAACATCAAAATATTTAATGAGAAAATAACTATGGTGAGTATTTACACTAAATACTTCAGACCCTAAACAAAACTCTGTATGCAAAAAATACATCTACACTAGCAATTACAATGGTAACTGATAACACTGTACAAACGTACTTGGATCATTGGGATGCTGCTGGCTTTGCCATGGTTGGTATCCACCACCCCAACCCTGAGGAGCAAAATGCTGAGGTGGACCTTGTCTGTAATGGCAAAGAAATCCAGAATCACGAAGTGAAGGAAATAAATTCCCAATTATTAAATTCTGGAGATAACTATTTGCAATATCTCTGGAGTGCACATAAACAAAATACTGAGAACACGTGCACTTCACACTGGCTAACTGGCTGTAGAGATGACTTCACACAGTTGAAATGACGTCTCTTTTCATTGCAAAAGCAGCACAGAAGGACAGTGGAGTGTAAGTTCTTGTTTGAATGCATCTGTATGTTAGTGTAGGAGCAGCAGCTACTAGATTTGATACCTGTTGTGAAGTTATCTGCTCCACGATGGCTAGAAAATCAAATGGGGTACTTTTGTCAACTACAGAAAGCCCTCACACGAAAAATACCAGACATAATAACAATAGTGGCATCAAATTGTAGATATTTTGGGAGTGCAACCTCGCCAATCTGATTTTAAAGGATGGGTGCATGTAACAATGTGTTTCTCAAAGCTGCCATTAGGGAAAAATGTGCATTCTGTTACTTCAGCAACAAAATGCCTACAAATGATAAGATATGGTTACTGTGCACCCTTATCTGGGGCCAATTTCAAGAGGGCAACTATGTAAAAATTTCTCACGAACAGCAAATAGCTTCCTCCTCTTTAAAATGCACTTTATAAGTAAATGAATGTAGTTTTAACTTCTGGTATAGAAACTAAGTTTGGCTCCTACTTTATGAAGAAATGCATGCAGAGTAAATGTTTGGAGCCAGGACCAAGATAAACAGAACAAATAAGAATCTTACCCTCCTGGAGGACCTTGACCTCCAATGGGATATTGTGTAGGTGGTGCTCCACCTGGTCCAGGAGGCTGCAATGAAAGACACAAATTATTCCTCTTTTATTTCCATCTACACACTATACACACTTGACACAGACTCAAATCTGAAAATTTGGCAACCCCCAATATAGTATTCCTCAATTTGTTTTCCATTGTTTGATCTTCTGTTGCAATGACAACATCAGTAATCAGAATGTTAAATATCCTCCATTTACTGGCCTTTGTTTTTTAAAAGGGGGCTTCACTATGTATGGAAAAGTGTTGCTTCAGATATATCTAGCAACACAGCATTCACTGGAAGCATATGAAAGACATCTGCTAAGTTAAGAGATATCCATGCATTACAGAAATACACTTAAAAGACTAATATTCTCACAGTTATAACAAATTCTCTACAACACAAGCCAGCTAAGCTGCATTTCCTGAAACACAGTTCAAACCTACTTATATGAAATTTATCAATTCTACCTGTAAATTTTTGTTTAAACAATTCTGGTTTTCCAGTAAGTCTGGGAAGTTTCATTTTGTGGCACTGCCACTGACACCACCACAACTACGCTAACCTTTCTACTGTCTTTCACAACAAAATCTTGCTAATTCTTTGTTGCACTATGCTCAATGGGCCAGAAAGTTTATACTTTCTGTAAACAAAATGCTACACACCATTCCAATCTTTTCGCTTATTATCCTTTTTGCTTGTTCTATTTGGTCTGGAGATCCTCGGATTACAAATACTTTCTCTGCAGGATTTGGAGGTGGTCTCCGATCCAATTCACAGTGTGCACCAGTCTGCTGATTAATTTGTTTGATTGTCTCACCTCCTGCACAATGACAAATAAACACATTAACAGTTCTTTGTGGAGGAAGAAAATGCTGGACATAAGTAGCAGAAATTATTTTACAACAGCATATACCTTCACTCTGGAGCTGGGATAGCATAGTCGATATTGCAACTGACTCTAGGGCTGGACAACTGAGGAGTTCAAGTCCTGGTAGGGTCAAGAATTTTCTCTTCTCCATCTTGTCCAGACCAGCTCTGGAGTCTGCCCAACCTCCTATCCAAAGGGTATGGTGGGTAGGATCTATCCCTGGGGGTAAAGTGGTAGGGGCATGAAGCTGGCCGTTCACATCCAGCTAGTGCCAAGGTACAGAAAATGTGGCTTTATACAACCATTCCCCCATACACCTTCATGGCATAGTGCTTATTAGTTAAGCACAGGGACTTTACCTTTTCATATACCATCACTCTGGGGGCATGTGGTAGCATAGTTGGTTGAGGCACTATGCTACAAACTGGAAGATTGCGGGATCAAATTCCAATGAGGTCATTGCATTTTTTTCAATTTACCTAATCCTTCCAGCCACATTATGGCCCTGGGTTAGACTCAGCCTCTAACAGAAATGAGTACCAGGAATATTCTTGGGGGTAAAGGGCGGCTGGCGCATAAGGCTGACAACCTTGCCACCATCTATGAGCCGATTGTCTAGAAAATGTGGGAACCTCAACATCTCACAACCCTATGGGCCTCCACAGCCCGTTACAGGGATACCTTTACTTTTTTACTATACCATCACTCTATAAAGTTTACATCAATGAATCAAGAATACTGAATTTGATAAAAGTGGGTGTCTTATGTTACTGAACATAGATTCTTCTCTTTTTCTGGTTTATGGATCCAAATGTTATGTGAATGTTGTGATGTACTAAAGTATTCTGAAGTAAAACGTAATACAAATTCCTTGATATTGCAAACATCAAACTGTTATGTAAAATGTACCAAACTGTTTACATTATGGTACAGGACCAGTTTATTTTCAATTCTGTACATCAATCCTTGTGTCTATCTTGGTGATCACGTACAAAACAGATGCTAATTACAAAGGTACAAGTGCCATCAACTTCGCAATTAGTTCTTTCCATAACATGACTGAATACTATGTCAATCACCTCTCATTAAAATCAAACAATGCTGCATTGTTTAATAATAATTAGAGTAAGTAAAGGTAAAAAGGTAGTTGTCCTTGAGCTTAAGTAATTAAGCACAACGCCATGAAGGGATATGGGGAGTGGACATATATATGCGCATTTTCTTGACCTCAACACTAGTTGGTGAGTGGTCAACTTCACGCCCTGGCTGCTTTAACCCCGGGGACAGAGCCCCTGGTACCCAGTGCATAGAAGGTTCAGTGGACCACATGGCTGACCTACAATCTGTCAAAAAAATTCTTGACCCTACCGGAACTTTAACCCCTACGCCCCAGTCTCCCAGCACATAGCCAGTTGCTCTACCGACTGTGATATCCTGGCAAGTGCATAAGAAAAAGCCCATAAAAAGGAACTCATTATAAATCATCTCATAACATTATATTACTACCACCACACAAAATTAATATTTCTGTTCTGCAGGTTTACATCTTCATACAGATGAAATAAAAGATATTTTCTGAGAGAAGTCCTGTGACAAGAAAATTATAAAAATTGAGTCACTTGTTAAGACATTAACAAGATTTAAACATGCAGAATGAATGCAAAAATCTCTGCAGGAAATATGTCAACAAACTGAATAAAATGTTACCACAACTCCAGAAAAGCCAGTTTTTGACAAAACCAGTCATGTAAAGCAATAAACAGTAATATCATTCCAATATTATTAAAACTGAGGGAGATGACGGTTGTGTTGCCCAAAAAAGGGGGGGGGCCACACCACACACACACACACACAAAAACTCCATGGTTTGAGTCCGGAAGTGAACTATACCAACTGAGCGACCGCCACTTGTCAGCAAAAATAGTGCCAACTTTAGTGGATAGAGGGTGTCACGTGGTCAGTGTAACAAATCCCCATTGTCGTTAATTTCGGTTTTCTATATTGGAGCCGCTAGTTCCTTGAAATAGCTCCTCAATTATCCTCACGAGGCTGAGTGGACCCCGTTCCAGACCCACTACTTCTCAGAAAATTTGGTAGCATTGGGAATCGAACCTGGGCCTCTTAATCTGTACCCAGGAACTCTGACCAGTACACCACAGAGGCAGTCCACAAACACACCACACTCCCATTCAAACTGCAATACAGCTCATATCACTAAAGGTCACCAGATTTTATTTTCAATATATAACAGGAATCAAAATCAGGTTATCAGAGATCTAGAATGTAAAGTACTCTTTTTCACATCAGGCTGCAAAATGTAAATTGTGACAAACCCTCAGAGATGTTTCGGACAAACAATATGAACTACAATTTAAGTCTCTACCAGAAAGTTATCATAAAACAATTCTTTAGAAGAACTGTGTACTCACCTCTTCCAATAACTATGCCACACTTTGCAGCTGGGATAGTAAATGTCGCTTCTTGCTTGTCCATTTGACCACCACCCTGCTGCATGCCCCCTGGTCGCCTATCCCAGCCACCTCCACCTCCATTCCCAAATTCACCACCACCACCACCTCCTCTGTTACCCATGCGGTCATAAGGTGGTCCACCAGGGCCTCCTCGCCCTCTGCCTCGTCCAATTTCACTATCACGCCGCTGCAATTAAGGAATAACACACTGTTAAGCATTCACATGAAGGTTATTTGGAAAGTAAAGATACAAGAGTCCAGAAAATGTTTGTAAAGCTTTCTTTTTTTTTACATTCACTTGTAGCATCTTTATTTACTTTCCAATACAGTCACCATGGATTCTATTGCACTAAGTGAGCGTGGGAATGAGTTTTTTTATTCCAGCACTGTAGAAATTTCATGCCTGCTCTCTTAGCCGTGTCAACGTGTCTTGAATCTCATCATGGCTGAAAAAGTCTTTCTATCCAGACTTTCCTTCAATTTTGAAAACAAGTAATAGTCACTTGCTTTAAGGTCTGGGCTGTGTGGTGGATGGGCCAGTACTTCCCACCTGAAGGACTGCAACAACTCTTATATGGGGTGAGCACCGTGAGAACGGGCATTATTGTGCAGATGCAGACCCCTCACATCAGCATTCATTTCCACTTGTTTTGAATAGCCTGATGCAGTTTCTTCAGCATCTCAGAGTAAGCAGTAAAATTGATATCTCCTCGAGGCAAAAAATTGAAGATAAGTGACCCCTTCCTGTCCCAGTACATGGTTGCCGCGATTTTTTGGTTTGATGATGAAGTTTTGAATTTTTTCGCTGTTGGTGGGTGCGTGTAGCGCCATTGCACTGATTGCCGCTTATTCTCAGGTGTGTGACAAGATACCCAAGTTTCATCTCCTGTCACAATAAAGTCCAGAAAGTCAACACCTTGATCCTCGTAACGCTCAAGGAATGCCTGCACCGCATCCACTTGATTTTTCTTGCGATTGTCAACATTTTCCTCTTGAGTAGAGGAAAAAAATAAAAATCGCAAGGCGCAAGATCGGGGGAATAAGGAAGATGTGGAATCAGTTCTAACTTCAGGTTTCGCAGAGCCTCTTCAGTTGCGCGCAAGGTGTGTGGACGAGCGTTGTCATGTTGCAAGATTATTGGCGCCAGGCTGCCTCTAACATGACAAACTCAATGCCGGAGGTGTTTTAGAGTCTGTATGTACTGAGAAGAATTTACCATTGCCTCTCGTTCCAGAAAATCGGTCACATAAACTCGGTGAGCGTCCCAAAACACAGTCAGAAGAAGATTTTTGGTGGATGGTTGTGTTTTGAACTTTTTCGTCTGAGGAGAAGACGGATGTCGATATTCAGCGCTCTGTCTCTTCTCTTCCGGGTCGTAACGATGGACCCATGACTCATCCCCTGTCACAATATTCAAAAGAAAGTCGTCTCCTTCGTCACGGTAGCGCTGCAAAAGTTGCTCGCAGCATTCCAATCGACGCTGTTTGTTCTCGTCTGTGAGACGGCGTGGTACCCGTCGTGCACAGATTTTACGGTATCCCAATTGTTCAATAATGAAGCTGACACATTCCTTCGATATTCCAATATGGTTTGCGATACGCTTTTGAGTGATTCGCCGGTCATTTTGAATCAAATCGTCGACGAGTTTGCGATCATTATCGTCTGTGGCAGTAATCGGACGTCTGCTGCGTGTTTCATCAACAATTATGGCTTTCCAGGCTCGCAACCACGAAATTTTATTACCCATCGATTTACAGTAGACCTATCAACAGCATTGTCACCATAAACAGCCTTTAAACGATGATGAATCTCAGCAGGAGTCACTTTTTCAGCAGTTAAAAATTCGATAACAGCACGCTGTTTAACTCGCGTTGACATAGCTCTAGAACACGTCTCCACACTTCCGCTTCTCGAAATACACTGGATGAACGCAACGATCTCAAACCTGCGCATGCGTATTGAGGGGGAATGTTACTTCCACATGCCACCTGGCGCGCTTCTGAAGGTCATTTCGTTCGCGCTCTACAAGCATGTGTGCATTACTTTTCAGCCTACCTACGTACCTTGTAGAATACATTTCCTTCATACCATAAAACATATCAGTTACACAAATTTTTTACACACACTCCAACAACTAGACTAAAAATTTTCACATAAAAATTAATAACAGATCAAATACATTAGACTTCACTAATTCAGACTAACTGGGAGCAAACACTTGTCCAAATTAGTGAAGTCTGAAACACAGAAGGGCTCATCAGTTTTATATTGTTAGGGTCCAGTTGTCCTTTTCCACTTTTCAGCTTAATCACTACATGGATCATCCAGTTTCAGCACAGATTCTAATGTTGATTTATGATTTTCTTTAATACTGTGACATGTATACCCATTGCTCAGCAACGACATGGTAAACATGCCTCAACAATAGAGAGGCTGTTTTCTATGTGGTCCATGCTGCAACCATTGCCATGAAACAGAGTGGTATAAATGCCTAAAAGAATAAGGGACAATATTAGATGGTGTTTTCTGTGAGGTCTGTGCAAAGTGATTATAAAGAAGAATTCAAAGAACTGACTTTGACTTGCAGGACAGAGTAAAGAGTCGAGTTCTGGGACGCCAGCCTGTCCGCATATGAGCATGGAATTAACTTCAGTCATATCATTGGAATCGGCAGCTGCAGAATAATGGCAAGGAATAAGGATGCAAAAAGAAGACTCCATGTGTGATTTGACATGACAGTGACACTGTTATAAATCTGCTGCCTGGATAAGACTAATGAAGACAGAGAACTCTAGTGCATGTGTAATGGTGAACTGTGAAGTGTGTGGAAATGGTAGTGCTGTAATTGCCTGGTAGTCCCCAAGTTGTGTGAATGTATAAGGTGCAATAAAACCCATCATCCACTCCAAACCCACCTTATAATTCATGCACCCCCCCCCCAGACATGACAATATCATACAAGATGAGCCTACTTACACCATACTAATTCATTACATTCTGAATGGAGCACCGTGATCAAGTCTGTTTAAAACTTCCATCTTTTTCTTGCAGGGTTAGTGTCTTATTTCCTCTAGCACTCATTTTAACAGAAAATATACTATTAGAACACTAAAATGAAAATAAAAGTATGCATACTTAAAATACCAACAAAGATTGTTCATGTAAACATAGAAGTTTTGAGTTCTCTGCCTTCCTACTATTTTTGCAGCAAACTTTCTAGATTTAGAATGCTCCAAGGGGAAACCTTTTACATTAGCCTTGATGTTTGACAAAAGGCCTACATACATAATATACCATGATCTATTGTAGAGCTAAATGCGGCAGTTTGCGATTGCTGATTGCAACAATGCGATCATCAAGGCTGTAATGAGCAAATGGGGGGGGGGGCAGCCATAAGAATAATCATAAATTCCGAATTAATGGTTTCACTGCATTTTGTAACCCACAAACCTTATAAAACATCACTATATAGTGTCAAATTGTGGGATGATTGTATGAATAGCCTGGAAAGAATGTGACAATCTGGCAAACTGATCAATCATTTTCCTGGAGGTAATGAGGAAACCCATACAATAAAATTCAGTCAAGGTAGCCAGCATCCTGGATGAGATTTGAATCAGTCACAATACAAAGAGAAGCATTAATGCTTAAGCCTACTTGCTCAGTCATCAAAGAGCACAATTTAAGGAACATTACTAAACTGCCTACCTTGGAGTTACATTATTGCTTTCAAATTTATACCTTGGGCTCACAAGAGCAGTACATTCAGGGAAAAATTTTAAATTAAATATTTCAATGTTTTGGTTTAACACCTCTTGTAACAGACTGTGGTTACCAAAGCACATCATCATCTGCGAATGAACTTTTTGACTTTGCTACCACAATCATTAAAAGCAGAAACAAATGCAGCTCACTTAACAAATGGCAGCACAGGTACACGATTAAACTGTCTAGTGAATGTGTTCACAAAATTGAACTCTTTTCTTTCCTTCCTCATGAGCGATTCTTTCGAAAATGTATGTTTGCACAGTGTATCATCCATCATAATATAAACAAAACACTCACAAGTACACTATCTATAAGCTCTTCTATCCTCCGCCTTGCTTGATCAACTTGACTGGGCTTCCCTGTGAGTAGACACCTTCTCTCACCCGGACCATCATCACGCCCTTGTTGAAACTGAACACGAGCACCAGTCTCATTCTGTATCTTCTTTATCATATCACCACCTTTGCCAATAACAACACCAACTGCAGCCCTTGGAACAGCCACCTTCAAAGAAAAATTTTCAATCACATTATGGTTATACCAGTACATCTTGTTCCATTAAATGAATTAAAACATTCTGTCACATGTATGAGTGACCACAGATGAGGTTCAGATTGGTAAATGGATTTAGTGAAGACTTACAGATCATAACTACAAGTAACTACAGCGCTATCGCTAATTCACACGTTCTGCAGTTCACTACAGCTTGCACTAAGTCTTCTCAGCCTGCTCTGTCTTCACCAGTTTTCTGGTAATGGCTTCCAACGGTGGACGTTCCCCTTCCTCTGGGTTCCCAATCTGTCCTCGTGCCTTAGCTACCAGCTTCTCATAGCAAAAGCTCACAAAGGCTGAACCGCAGCAGTCCTCTAATTCACTCTCTCACTCACTTGCGAACCAACTCACTAGACTCTACTAATTCCCACACAGGTGGTAATCTCACGTCAACCTTCTGCTCTTCTCACTGCCAACTCAACTCTCTCTCATAATCACAGCTCTCATTATATAGCAACATGGACCACTCAGAAAACACCACTTCCAACAGTACTTATATCGTGCCTGCTGTGGCCCATTACCTAGTAAAAGCTGTTGTTTACACAGCCATTACCTAGCAATGGCTGTTGCAAAGCTGCTGCCTTTGCAGTCATTGCCTAACAATAGGTCTACATGCCACAATATTCTATGACGCAAAAGCATTCAAGTCATCAGAAGGATATTATATTAAATGTAATTATATATATATATCAACAAACAGCAAGCCAACATTTCAGCATGCCAATACAAGAGTCAGGCTCTCTCATGAAATTTTTTGACCAATTGCTGACTCTCCTACATGGTGTTCAAAAAGATGAAAATATAACATCCAAATATACTTCTGAATTTTCACATTAAGTTCATTATATTTTTCATGAAGAAGCACTCAAAACTGACAGTGAATATGTCACTAACAATACTTTAAAAATGTCACAATACAGATAATTAATAACACATAAATAATCCTTCTGTCCAATTTCACTCTTCCAAATATACTTCAGAACTTACAAAATGTGTTAGGTGACGAGTTTCTTTTAAAATGCATAACTGCAAACAGGAGCATTGGATCTGGGGACCAACAGCTCATACACCATACAGAATTCATTATATACATGTTCACAAGAGGGTATTTTGATGTGTAAATTACTATGTAAACAGCCAGAGCAGCCTTCTTTACACCAAGCAGCAATTCAGGAATCAATTTATTATGCAATGAGATACAAAAATTGGTCAAAGTGTAACTACCTCATGCACACGAATAATTTTCACAACCCCCCCCCCATAAGTGTGCTTGGAAGATCTTGTGAATTTTGAACCTGGCTCCATGACATATTTCTCCACTTGATGCACTCTTCAATTGCCGATTTTTCCCAATTTAACTCAAAATGACAGCAAAGATACAAACTCCCTGATAATACAATATGGTGACAGCTTCTCCCCCTCCCACTTGCAGTTTTCTAGAAATGCCCCCCCCCCCTCACATTTAGTTGGTCCTTCTAAACACAAGTGCAAAAGAAAAATAATGAAAGGTGGCCAATAATATTCAACAGCAGCCACTTTTAGTTCATCTGTCAGGGCTATGCAAGCAGAACTGACAGAAATATCAAGACAGGCAGTCAATTCAGGAGGGCGAACACCCATGGCATCTTAAAAGCAGTAAGTGTAAAGTGGAAACTTATACTGTTATTGAAGGACTGTGGCCATATAAAATCTAATTGGCTACACGAGGGAAAAAATATTCATGCTCATATACAAATTAAGATCAATCTACAGAGGTGTCTGGGAATTTGCATATATGGCATCAATCTTGCGAATTCTTGATGAAAAATTGACCTTGATAAAATTATAAAAAATGCACAATTTTGCAGAAAACGAAGAGTCCAATACTGGGTTGCCGTATTTCATTTTCTACAAAAATTATCTGTTTAAATTTTATCACAGGGCACTGTGTCTCATTCATTTATGAATTGCACCATAGAGAATCTAGTCTTGAATTTCCAGACAGGTTCTATACTCTGAATCAGCACAGTGAAATCCCTATTCAACACATACCTGGTGAATGTATTCTCTTACACTACAAAGATCTTAAAAACACACTGTAAAATCACATTAAGAAACTGTTCATCATCATCTTACAATACTTACTGTATATAACTTCTTTACATTAGGAGTCAAACTGTTTCTATACAAATAAGCAATTACATAATAATACCTAATTAACAATAGAAGGACCTCATCCCAGAATTGAAGCAACTAAAATGACACACAAATGGCTGTTTCAATGCCTGTCCAATATGTGACATAATGCACTGAAGAAAACTGTGCAGTAACATTTCCACCACAGCGCCAACATGAATACTGGCTGTTTTGGCAACTGCATTAAATGAAGGTATGAATTCTACAAGGATAATAAAAATTAAGTAAGACACTGCAATTACTTTCTGATGCATTTTATGAAACCCAAAAGATCATTTCCATTTTTTAAAAGAGCTGACCACTAGTCTCCATTTAGAACCAAATGAATCCATTCCGTAACTAATCACANTAACAGAAACAGCTCGCAATAGCCACAGGAACGTTGCTGCAAGACAGGCATATGTAACGACGACTTAGCGCTCTTAAACGCGTGTGTCATTAAATACAGTCCTCCTGACAACAGGCCAGTGAAAAATCTAACAATCTACAGCAAAACCATCAATTATTATGGGCGTTATAACATACGTGTGCAGCTGGACGAAACATACACGTCGAACCCCCCCAGACGATTTAAATCCCTGACGAAACATACACGACGAACCACGGCAACGGGTTAAGGTCTTCAGTGGTCTTTCTCCTGGTTTTCTTGCCATGTTAACACCCTGCCCATGTCACTCTCCTTCACTTCATCATTCTATCTGGCAAAGAGTATAGTCACAAAGTTCCTCATTATGCAGTTTTCTCCAGCTTCATATTATTTCATACCTCATGGATCAAAATATTCTCCTCAGCATCCTGTTCTCGACACACCCTCAAGCCTATGTTCTTCCCTTAATGTCTGAGAAAGTTTCACAACCATAAAGAACAATGGGCAAATTAGTTTAATTTTTATGTTCTTGGGCAGCAGATGAGAAGACAGTAGGTTCTAAACCGAATGGTGGCAAGCATTACCCAAATTTAATGATCTTAAATTCATCATGAATCAAACTTTGATTTCCTACTGCTGCTCCCAAATATCTGAACTCTGCCAAATTTTCAAAGGTATTAGTTATTATGTCACAATTTTGTCCTCCATTCTGGTGGCTTCAGTATACACTTAGTTCTCTCTGTTTATTTCTAGGTCAACCTAATTCCAAGCATATATTAGATTTTTTTTCCCCTGGCATTCCATTCTTCCCCAAGAGATCTACATCACCAGCACAGACAAAGAAGCTGATGTGTCCAATTCAATTTCAATCCCACTTCGTTTTCCTGACCTTCTTAACAGTGAATTGTAAAGCAAAGTTGAAGAGCAATGGCAATTAAGCATTTTAAATTATCCTGAACATGGAATGTATCACTCACATGTTCACCCACAGAGACTCCACTACAGGCATTACACCAGCCTTTTCCAACCCACCTTTGTAACTTCAGCTCAGTAGGAATGGCGCTATCCTTGTTACACCTGTTTCTACCTTAGGATAGTGTATAATGGTCACTGCAAGTTGTCCTCACAGATGGAATTAAAGGAGGTCGGTATAGGTACAGGAAATCAGTTGGGTCAGTTTGCATGAGACTAAGGGTAGCGATTCTGAATTAAGCGGTATTCTGGGAGTCCATCCAGCTTGACATTGGTTCACTCATTGTTCTCCATACCACACTGTTTAATTTACTGTACATTAATGCTTTAAATTACAATTTATTAATTGATCTGCAAATTAGGTCTCGGAGCATGCACGGGTCACGTCTGTACACTTCAGAATATGGCGAAAGACTCCTTGTAGAAATGGCTTGCACATATCACTCTGCGAATTTAAAAAAAATTTCGAATTCTCCACGGTGTGGACATATACATGCCATTCAATCTCCCGTAGGGAAATCTGATCGAGGCAACTCTTAGTCATAATGGCCCTTCAGTGGTCCTCAGTTACAGGCAATTATAACGAGTTTTGACCGGGCTTTTTCCTTGACTTTTGTAGGCGCCTCTAGTTTCTTGTACCTGAGCTAAATAAATAACTGCTCGTAAATGTCAGAACTCCAGACTTCTTGGCCCTGCCAGAATCCAGGGATTTCCACAAAAACACCACATTGCACGTCCAAGACAATGGAATGCGGTATTATAGAACATGATAAGGTTCCAGTTGTATCTAAATATAAATTTTTTTAATTACAATTTACAGAGAATCAATATCCATGGTCCTTTATAATCATCCAAATAAAAAGGGGCTAGGATTGATCGGCGTCAAGGTTTCATTTAAAAACATTTCATTAGGCACAATTAGTTGCATAGATATACCGAACTCATTAAGAATCTCTCTCTCAAATGTGCATGCATGCACAAATAGTCTTCAACATAGCTCCACAGGTTTAAACTGATGTTCAGCCCATGCTTCCATGAAAATTAATAACATGTTTAAGCCAAACAGAGCAATTGTCAGGCATGTGATTCGCGTAAAATGTTATACTGTTCTATGATAAAATACATAGCCTGTGAAGGATGTATGCCTAAACGTTTATTTAAACCAATTTTTTTATGCCTGTTAATATTTAGTATGTAAAATGTCTTAAAATTTTAAAATGAAGTAACATGATGCACGTGTGCCATGGCACTCCTATTATGTACTGTTTTAAGCAGGGATGTGTTTCATGGATTGTGTGTTCTGGTCACCACTGTATGTGTGGACTAGTGTACTGTGGTAGTCCACACACTATTAAAGCATGCAAACATTCATGTTACAGCGTTAAAAAACCATAACACATCTGACTACAGCTGCTTTACTGTATTCATATTCTGCAGTTACTTCACATACCTCAACTGAGTCACCACCTCCACCTCCTCCACCACCACCACTTCCAGATCCACCATATTCGTCATAGTTGTGATTTCCGCCTCCACCACCTCGCTGACCACCACCACCACCACCTCCTCCTCCTCGATTGTATGCCTGCTGGAAAAAATAAGACTCTCAAAACCATCCACACAGTTATAATCTCCGAGTACATCCTTGTCAGGATGAGGTTTGCTGCCATTTAAATATTATTGCAATGTATAGGCAGTAGGGGGTTTAAATGCTGGCTTGCGAGGTTAACCTTTAGCCGGGTCCAGACTTGTTGCATATCCCTGTATCGTATCTCCTTTGCGTATCGTCCGATGCAACGCGACAAAATTTTGCGTCCTGACTTGTTGCGTATCTCCACTCCACTCCATTCAGAGTATATAAACAGAGAATCACAAACAGAAGAATGCACACTGGTGATCACTACACTCCAACTGTCTGGAGCTGATAAGCAAAGCGCGATGCAGCCGCCTATACGTCCAGACTAGCACCACTGCAACCCGAGTCGTCCCTTTGATGCAACGGGAAAAGACCGCCAAGCGAGCGAACAGCCCGTTGCGTATCATTTTCCAACGGAAGGATGATACGGGGTACCGTCCACACTGATACGATACGGGGATACGCAACAAGTCTGGACCCGGCTTTTAACGTATGGACTTCAAAATTGCCGGCAGCCCTCTGTGGCCTGTATTTAAATCGCCCTAATTAATTAACATTTCAAACTTTTAGAAAGAAATACATATTTTCCGTTCTATGCAACATAGAAATACGAACTAAAACAGCCTGAAAGGCAATAAAATTTTCTAAATATACATAAAACAGCAATTTTTACAAATGAAAATTGTCATGAAGTGCAAAATATAATCTTTATTACGAGGGTAATTCCAAAAGTAAGGTCTCCTATGTTTGAAAATATAAAATAAACATTTATTTTCAATTTTGGATACATCAGTTGAATCTTGAACATGTACTCATTTCTCTACATAATCGCCATTTCGGTCGATGCATTTTTGTAGGCGCAGTGGCAGTTTTTGTATGCCCATGTCATACCAGTTAACCTCCATGCTGTTCAGGAAACTTCGAACCTCAGCTTTCACCTCATCGTCGTTGTTGAAGCGCTTCCCAGACAAATGATCTTTCAACTTTGGAAAGAGATGGTAGTCACTGGGCGCCAAGTCTGGACTATAGGGTGGATGGGTGATGATGTTCCATCCAAACTGTTGCAGTTGAGCGACGGTTTGTCGGGCAGCATGGGGGCGAGCGTTATCGTGGAGAATGCTTACGCCCTTGCTCAACATCCCTCTTCTCCGGTTCTGAATCGCCCGCCTGAGTTTTCTCAGTGTCTCACAATATCTCTCAGCGTTTATTGTGGTCCCAGTTTCCATAAGTCAACCAACAATACCCCGTTTCGATCCCAAAACACAGTTGCCATGACTTTANCTATCCTGACGCATGACTCGCTCAATCTTCGCGACTGTCTCGTCAGAAATTGACGGTCTCCCAGTTCTTTTTTCGTCGTGTATTGCAGTACGACCAGATTCAAACTCCCTACACCACTTGCGGACGTTCTTTATGTCCATGCACGACTCGCCATACACTTCCACCAATTGACGATGAATTTCAATTGGTTTAGTCCCTTTTGCGTTCAAAAACCGAATAACTGCGCGAATCTCACACTTCGCGGTTTTAGTAATCGGGAGCTCCATTTCTAACGGCAACCGTGCCAAGACTGAGCGTCCTAGCTACGTGCGCGCATGCTTGGTGGTATTGGGGGGAGTGAGGGAAGCAACGAATGCAACAGGGTTGCCAACAGCCGCACGAAAAATTACCCAGTGCTTTGGAGACCTTACTTTTGGAATCAGCTACGTATATATTGTAGCGTGTTTGGTTGCCTGTCACGCTACAAATAAGTTCACGCCGTGGTTTGATATAGTGAGTTTATTCCGTTCGCTCGCATTACACACACTTTACAATCATCTGCACTTGCAGTCTTACAATAACCGATTACAATATTCCGGCGATACTGACTCCATAGACGGATATTCCCAACTGACTTCTTAGACGGGCGATCTGAAGCTTTCTTCTTCCAAGACTATTCCGCGACTGACTTCTTCGAATGCTATTCCGAGACTGAAGGCTTCTCATCGAAGCTGGCCTATTTATACCCTCGCCGCTGCTAGGCAAATGAACCTTCTGTTATAACCATGGGGACGTTGCTTTGTTTGTCGTTACCGTGGAGATTCGATGTTCTCGATACAACAGCTCACTGTTGGAATTACAGTATCGCTATTGTTACTTCTTATGCAACGGTCTGTTCTGGTGTTTCCATAGAAGTGACTCCTCCGGATTCCAGACACGTTACAATATGTTATGAAATTCCAAAGGACTTACCCATTGTTTTTTCTTAAACCTTGAATCATGGTGATATTGTAAATATAATCACACTGTATACAATATTTTGTTCAGACTGTACATGAGTTTGAACTGTATCACTTTATAGATTACGATACACTCTGATGCGCAGTCCACCTCACACAAATAGGCATCGCACTTTTTACAACAGAAGAGCGTGTGCCTGCTTTTCTTATTTAGCGAAACACATCTGTTTCCCTTTGGTTGGCCAGTGTTGTGAATGTTCCACCTCCAGTCAACTCAGTTGGGCCCCAGGTAACCTTGGCCTCCCCCGAGAAACACCACTGACCGTAATATTCAGCTTTGAGACTTGGTGATATTGTAAATATAATCACACTACATACAATAATATTACTGTACACAAGTTTGAACTGCGTCACTTCACCGTTTCACTTCACTACAATACTCACATTGACGGGCGTGGCACTTCTCGAAGCAGTCCACTTCACACAGAGCAAAATCACACTTTTTACAATAGAAGAGCGTGTTCATGCTTTTCTTATTTAGCGAAACACACATCTTTGTTTCTCTTTGGTTGGCCAGTGTTGTGAGTGTTTCACCTCCAGTCGACTCAGTTGGGCCCCAGATAACCTTGCCCCCCCCCCCAAGAAATGCCACTGACCATCATATTTGCCTTGTGCAATTGAAGAATCGTCTTGGGGGAAGGGGATTCTAGCAAAATCGAATAAATTATGTTGATTGACAAAGCGACACTCTCACCTATTAGTAACACTCGCAAAATAATGATGCAAAGTAATTTTAATACTAGTCGAAAAGGGTGCCAGTCTGACACAGATACCAAAGTCACAGTGGCAAAGATGCCTTTTACTCATAAAGTAATACTGGCTCAGTGGGTTTATGCCTCTTCCCACACACAAAATAAAAATGATATACAAAGAAATATATGACAGTCTGACACTGACTTTTTAACTGATAAAGAAATATTAGACAATCCGACACTGTCTTCCTGACTGATAATTCGACATTGAAAACCAATCCTTGAATGTGTCATACTTCCTTGAAGGCTCTGGAAGCACTCACCTGCAAGCACCGATGAATATTTCCTCACCAGTTCTCAAAACAAAGCTGGGCTACATTTGGCTGACCAGGTCATAAACAGTCATATCAAAATGAGTATCGAAACCAGTATCGTGATAAACGATTTCATTGTTCAGAGCTAAGGAATGAACCACTGACATGACCTTGCAAGCATTTCGTTTTGGTTTCAAACCGAAGGTCAAACTGCCAGCACTCCCAGAGAGCATGTGTCCTGCCGCATATATATATTGTGACATGTCCCTCTGTGCGCGGACAGATAAACTCCAGGAAAACCCGACGAAAAACTACAACGAAACCTGCGCAGCAACTGACGAAACCAAACGCGAGCTCCAGGCCCGGTTGGATATAGTGCAAATGAAGGCTGAGCGGCTAAATACATCAACGATCGTCACGAGCACAGCTCAGCCACCAACATTCAACGGGAATTCAACGTGTAGTGTATTCAGGCGACAATTCGAGACCGTGGCAGAGCACAACCAATGGTTGGAACGGGAAAAATCGACATACCTAATTACTGCCTTGAAGGGTCGGGCGGCAGAAGTGCTACCCGGCATTCCGACAAATACAACTTATGAGGAAACACTTCAGGCACTAGAGGACCGTTTCTGGGACCAACACTTCGCAGCTGCTTACCACTGCCAACTACGAACGAGGACGCAGAGACCTGGGGAATCCCTGCAAGACTTCGCCACGCCCATTGAACTCCTTTCCCGTCATGCCTACCCCAATCTACCTGCTGACCACATAGGAAGGGAGGCAGGTAAAGCCTTCGCATACAGAATACGAGATGCCGATATAAAGTTCCAGCTGCTGCTGGGAGGGGAGAAGACGGTAAATGAGGCCCTCCGACAAGCGCTAGAGTTGCAGGCAGTACTGGTAGCAGCCAGACCTCACGGAGACAGCACTAGGTTCCGATCGTCCCCCACCCAACGAGGAGATGACAACAGACAGCACCAGGACCGAAAAGAAGGACCTCCAAGAAACAAACGGGAATCGCCAGGGAAATCAGAATGGCGACCCAGAAACAACAAAGAACCAAGTTGGAGAAAGGACCAACCGTCAGGAAACACGCAACGGCTGGCGGAGATGGGCGAACGCCGGCATATGCGTTAAGGCCCCCACACTACGCACTCACCGACATGACAGAGAAAGCCAACACCAGTCTGGTCACCCAGGGATGGGTAGGTGAGAAGCCGTGCCAGGTGACAGTGGACACTGGAGCTACGTCACGGTAGTAAGACCGGATATTGCCGCCGGATGGCCTGAAAGACAGCCAAATCCAGATTTCACGCTGCAGACCGTGTCTGGAGGATCCCTTCCCATCCTGAAAGAAGTTCTGTTGACCCTTACCCTGGGGCGCCAACCGATAACAATGTGGGTTTTTGTCGCGAATATCACCGATGAACTCATCCTGGGACTGGACATACTGCGCGCCTATGATGCTTCAGTGGATATAGGGCGCCAAACTCT